ACCCAAACAACACTCCAGGGCAGAGGCATTGTAAGAAGCAATTCAAATCTGAAATATGTGCTATGATATAATTACATTATCGCAGTAAACCGGGATATTGTTTCTACATCGTTGTGCTCCAGACCAAAACGAGAAAATGTAATAATATGCTTGTTTAAGTCACAAGTCTGTTGAATTAATTATGACTCTGTCTTTTCCATGAAGGAGAGTGCATATGCAGCCTTGGGTCATTGTGTAAGATGGAAAAGTCCATATCATTTTAATAAAACAAATGCACATACAAAATGAGGGTCATATGTGGGCAAAGTGCAGCACTTAATTTGGAAACAAATGGCCATATTGCAACTGCTAGTATCAATTTGATGAAGCTGCTGCAAATCAGATAACGCTAAAGCTAGAGGCAATGGGGAAGATCGTGGAGTGAAAATTAGACGAGCCTGAACTCAGATTGCTACAGGGAAAGGTTGACTATGTTCTGTCATGATCTGTTAAAATTACCCACAACCTTTTATTACTTAAAGCAGAGCTCCAGGCAAAAAGTTTTTCGCATCACATATACTCCTACCTTACTATACCTGCAAGTATCTGCCATGTGCCAAGTTGAACAACCGAGTACTGGCACTCACCCATTTGACTGTAGAAAAAATGGCTTCTAAATTCCTGCTCTTCTGGTCACCTGCTTTCCACCAGTCCCCTGACTAGACAATGAGGGAGCAGCATCCCATGTATTTAATACTTTATATATTTTGTAGTGAGCTAAAAATATATCAAATGTATTCTTTCTTTCATATGGGCAGCCCGATCGGGTCCACCTGTCAGTTTTTCAAGTGGATCTGGCTGGATGCCCAGTTACCCTCAACTCCAGCCAGGTCCAGAAAAACAAATACATCAGAGATCTGTTTCGTAGGACCTGATGATGCCGGACAGGGGGGTAATCTAAATTAACACATTTACATTCATTTACATCCGACTCCCCTTAGACCAACACGATGTCCAGCAGTTTTAGTCCTTTCCTCCATCGCAGATGTCACAGCAGTGACATCTGATCCATACCGCTCCGATCAGGAGGGGATCCTTGCATGGATCCCCTCCTCATCAGTTCGTGTGCAAGGGGCCCTAAAGTTAGATTAAAAATATAAAAACTTGCTGGGAGGTAGGAATTGTTGGTTAGAAGAGACAAGTCTCTTCAGACAAGTCTCTTCTGCCAAAAAAGTTCTCCCTCTTTCCTCTTTATTTTTTGCGTACACAGTACATCACGCGGAGCATGCAGTGTAAACATTCGGCTCATTCATGGCATCTCTAAGATCCTGTGAATTAAACTAATGCTGGGGAGGATGTAACTCCTGTGCACATACGCAGGAGTTTCATCATCAGGGGCCACCCAATGACCAGAGGATACCTATAAAATCCAGAAGTGGCCATGGTGGAGATGACAATGGTGGGAGACACACTGGGGGACTGAATATGAATTCGACAGTGCTGGAGCTGGGCACACTTGTAAGGTAAGTGTGCCAAAATGTCCTGTGCATACTTGCACATTATGGCAGAAACCCCACCTTTTACGCCTTTACTACCACTTTAATTCTCTATGGTGTGTTGTACCTGATATGTGTGCATGCAATATATTATGTCTGCTTACATTTATTTTGATGTTTTATTATTTTATTAAATTTCCTATGCTTTTTTCCCTTACCAATGTTTAACTCTATGTTATTATTGTTGCACAGCAACAGATGTGTATGCTAAATGAATGCATACCTGGGCCACCATCACAGAGCCTTAGTGATTTCTGAGAGCTATGGAGTAATCTTATGACTATCTTTCTGCCAAAATTCTGAAATATGGCAGTCCCTCCCGCATATATACTTCCAATCAGCAAATCTCATGCCCCCTGCTGATTGGAGAACTCTTGCTGTGGCTGGGGCTGTGCTTCAACACAGAAAGCAAGGGTCCTTTTCTACAGCATGCTGGCAGGGAACAGGCTTTCTACTCAGAATGTGGCTGCTCTCTAATTGAATCAACTGCAAGATTCTGAACAGCTTAAAGCCAATGTTTAAGCTGCTTATATTTTGCCTTACCCCGTTCCTCCTTTTCCCCTCATCAATATGCTAATTAAATTGTAAAATTAAGTCTTTCTGTTTTCTTTACATACCTTATTTTAGACCCAGTCATATCATCGCAAGGTCTTTGTGCTTCTCTATGCAATGCCGGCAGGCCATGGTTGGTGGAAGGGGACGGCAGAGTGCTGTATATAGCTTCATGAAAACAGGAAGCTGTTAAAACACCCACATGCAATGCTGAGCCTCTATGATTGAACTGAAATTCAATGAATTAGGGAGGTGGGCCAAGGTTCAGCTGGGGAGTAAAGAGCTAGTTGATGCTGAATGTCCTCCAACCAGGAAATTAGTTGGGCTCTATCTGAACACTGAAAAACGTACAGTGTGCAATGAAATCAGAAAAACAATTTCGTTACAGAAGAGGAGCCTATACAATTGTGCAAGACTGTGGATGAGGGTCCGCTTGAAGCCAATGTTTTAACACAAGAATAGGGATAGTTATTTTCACCCAAGTAATTATTAAAGGTCATTGGACTTTCACTAGGTAACAGTCAATTTCCTTAAAATAAGGATCGTATGATCAAATACCAAAATGTTTGAGGGCTTGGGACCCTACCCAATGTTGGAGTTTTTAAGTGACCACTTTTGGCAATCTAAATTTCTACCTTATTATTAATTTTACTGCCATGATATCTTACCCTAACACGTCCTAGCCACTCCCCCTTTTTATCTCTCTCTCAAAACTTAAAATAAGTTTTACATTCCACTATAGGTTATAATGCTATTTAATCTTCATAATGCTCGTCTAGGAGCCAGCGGCATAATGTTGGGCGGAACTACCACTTTATGCCATTTTCTCCTAGAGCAGTGTTATGAAGATTAAACAGCATTATATGGGATATGAAACTTATTACAGAATGTTGA